TGAGCTATGATCGCTGTGGCTCACAGAATGTGGAGCATGCTGGAAGTGTGGCTGAGCAGTGTGATGAGGATGAGATAGCACAATGCTACTGGGCAGCCGTCCCTGAGCCCAGGACTCTAGCTAAGGTACTGAGCGGGCCCGGCGCTAAGAAGTGGAAGCAGAGTGTAAAGGAGGAGTATGACTCGCTGCTGCAGAATGAGACATGGGAGCTGTGTGAGCTGCCTCCTAGGAAGAAGGCCATTTCTTCCAAGCTGATCTTCAGGCACAAGTACGGATCTGATGGGGAGCTGACCCGCTACAAGTCAAGGCTTGTGGCTAAGGGGTTCTAGCAGACAAAGGGGAAGGACTTTGACGAATGTTTTTGCTCCTATGGGGAAAGGGACAACACTAAGGGCGTCGTTGGCAATAGCTGCAAACCACGGATGGAGGATCATGCAGATGGATATCTCGACTGCTTTCCTGAATGGGATCATTCTGGAGGAGTTGTACATGCTGCAGCCTGAGGGGTTGGATGATGGGAGCGGCAAGGTGTGCAGGCTGAAGAAGGCCATCTATGGCTTGAAGCAGGCTCCTCGTGCATGGTACCACAACCTGGAGGAGACACTGCTGGCTGGGGGATTCAAGAAGAGCGAGTGTGATCACAGCTTGTTCCTGCTGCAAGAGAAGGAGCAGTTCCTCATGCTCCTGGTGTATGTGGACGACACCCTCCTCTTCTCGTTGTCATCTGCGATGATTGATCGTGTGGAGGAGATGCTGGAGATGCAGTTCAAGTGTTCCAAGATGGGAGATGTGAAGTACTATCTGGGGATGCATGTGGAGAGGGACCTTGACAAGGGAGTGTTGACGTTGCACCAGAGGAAGTATTGTGAGGGGTTGGCTGAGAATCATGGGCTGCAAGATGGAGGAAAGCCAGCAACCCTACTGCATTCAGGGGTCACTGTGGAGCCCTGTGCTGATGAAGAGGTGGTGGGCGAGAGTGACAGGAAGCTGTTTCATTCCATGGTTGGGGCGCTCAACTATGCGGCCAACCACACGCGGCCTGACATTGCCAGGAGCCTTCAGGGCGCAGGAGTGCGCCAGGCGCAAACACGCTTGCCTCGATACAAATCTTCGGTGTTGTGCGGGAGGGGTGACCGAGGCGCTGGTGCCAGAGGTCATCGTTAGCACAAAGTCCAGACGTGCGCATGTATGCCATCCTTTGTTGATGTTTGTTCATACCATGTATGCCATCCATTGTTAATGTTTGTTCACACCATGTATGCCATCCTTTGTTGATGTTTTTTCACACCATGTACGCCATCCTTTGTTGATGTTTGTTCACACCATGTATGCATCCTTTGTTGATGTTTGTTCACACCATGTATGCCATCATTTTATGATGTTTGTTCACACCATGTTTGCCATCCTTTGCTGATGTTTGTTCACACCATGTATGCCATCCTTTGTTGATGTTTGTTGACACCATGTATGCCATCCTTTGTTGATGTTTGTTCACACCATGTATGCCATCCTTTTATGATGTTTGTTCACACCATGTATGCCATCCTTTGTTGATGTTTGTTGACACCATGTATGCCATCCTTTGTTGATGTTTGTTCACACCATGTATGCCATCCTTTGCTGATGTTTGTTCACACCATGTATGCCATCCTTTGCGTGCCTCACTTGCTTGCAGGAGCCTTTCATCAGACTCACTGTCGGGCTCCATGCCATCGTTTTCGCGCCTCATCAACTTAGTATACTTGTATGTTATCAGTTGTTCGTGAAAATGTTTTTCCACCTTAAGTTGACAATCCCTTCTGTTTGTTTCTCCATCAGTGGTATGTTAACATTCTTTGTGCATGCCCCATGTTTGTCTAATCAGAGACCTTTCCAACAACATCCTAACGGGCAGTGTCTCAGAGCTAATTAACAACCTCGACCAACTTTCTTTCTTGTGAGCGCTCTTCTTGTATGAGTGGCAGCTCTTTTCCGATTCTCGTTTGAACTGCAGCCAAAACCCTTTCTCATAGGGGTAAAGGTGTGCTGAGCCACCAATGCAACTCGGCCAATCAAGAGATTGGTGTTTTATGAAGGACCGGTATCGAAGAATTGCAATGAGCTGTGTGGCATGAAGATTGTGCCTCTAACCCTTTTGAAGTGACCGCTTTTGGAACTGAGATCTTAGCAATGACCCTCTCCTATGTATATTGTGCTCCTGTGTATATTGTGCTCCTGTGTATATTGTGCACCTGCAGGAATCTGACTGCAAGTGGCCTCACCTGCCCTGCTGACTACTCTCCATGTCTGGCAGCGCAGCAGCAACCTGAAAGCACCTTCTGCCTCCATTGCCCCTCCTGCTCCACCTGCGGCAAGCCAGCACCTCGTGAGCCAGCACCTCGTGAGTCAGAACTAACTTCCTCAGCCATCCCCCTTTCATTGTCGTCTCAATCCTGTAAGAGCCTTTCTATTCGAGTTCCGCCATTCTGTTTCAGTGCGTATGTCCACTCTCCTGGAACCCACTCTTCGTCACGCGTGAAGGGTTCCAACATGCCGTTCAGAGCAGCAGTGGCAAGCATCAGCAGTCCCACTGCTCTTCTTGGACTGCAGAATCTACTGTGCTGGACCAATGTTAAGCTGTTCAAACCCTTGTCGCTGTCCCGCCTCTTGCTTGCAGCCGCTGTGGTCCCTTCCTCTCCCATGTCCATCCCTTCCTCCCATGTCCATCCCTTCCTCCCATGTCCATCCCTTCCTCCCATGTCCATCCCTTCCTCCCATGTCCATCCCTTCCTCCCATGTCCATCCCTTCCCCTTTCATGTCCATTCCCCCCCTCCCCCCACTGCCCCACCAGCATCACCAGCATCAGCACCATCACCAGCATCACCAGCATCAGCACCATCACCAGCATCACCAGCATCACCAGCATCAGCACCATCACCAGCATCACCAGCATCACCAGCATCAGCACCATCACCAGCATCACCAGCATCACCAGCATCCGCACCATCACCAGCATCACCAGCATCACCCCCCCCTCCTGCAAAGTCCACCACCAAGTCCCTTGGCCTGTCAGCAGCAGCAGCCATTGCTGGCATTGCCATGGCTCCAGTGGCTTCCCTGCTGCTGCTGATCTGCGTGGTTGTTTGAATCTGCCCTTGGAACATGGAGTGGATTCTGGAGGAGGAGCCGATAAGAGAGGCTGTTGAAGTGGAGAATGAATGTGATGAAGCTGGCTGTGCGGTTGAGACAGCACATGCCCTGGTCATGTGACTGTTGAATGAGACCACAATGGAGAGAGTCTGTGAGACGTTGGTGTAGGCATTGGTGCCAGCTTGAGGTCTAGCGTAGGTAGTTTTGCATGTTGTTTACGGATCGGTGACGAAAGGATCGAATAGCAAGAACTGTTGGCATTGGTTTGTGTGGTCTGAATTTTGCAACACCAGTAACGGCAACAATACATTTTCAGTATGAAGGTCATCTCGCATGAGTATGAGTACCTCTTTTCTAAGCTTAGGGATAGGGATGAAGGGTTTCGGGTTCACGGTTTAGGGTTGACCAGAAGTCAGGCCTGTGACCACAGTGACCACTCAGTTCCATGGAATAAGGGTAGATTGAGGGGTAGCGAATGAATAGGTGTGAGGAGATACTGTTGAAGGGTAAGGGTGGTATGGGACACCTCTTTGTGAACAGCCCCTCTAAACCCTAAACTCTTCGTATCTATCAAGGCGACAGCTCATGCACCCCCTCCCCCACGTTTCGGTCCCCTCCTCACAAACCGACTTCTCTAGTTCTCTTTGCGCGACCTCTAATACCTCCTGCTCACTGCCTTTCAACCAACAGCACTGCCTACTGAGCACTCACTGAAACTCACTGCAACAACCACCCATTACCGTACCCACCCACTGAAGCAGCCCCGCCCCAGCAGAGGCACAGTGCTTGCAGCTTTTGCAGGTTGAGAAGCGCAGCAGAGACCTCGGCCACCAGAGCGGGGAGGATATGAGGAATGAAGGTGGTGTGGAGGGATAAGGTGGTGCAGGTGTTGCAAAGGCATGAAGAAACAAAGTGCTGCTGCACCAGGTGTTCTGAGGGGCTGTTGGAATAACCAAGGTGCTTTAGCATTCCCGCAGCCATGGTACAACCAGGATAGCCTTCCAATAGAAATACCTCGCAGAATAAGTTTAAATTACAATCTTCTACAGCAAGCGTGCCAGCGTGCCAGTGTGCCAGTGTGCCAGTGTGCCAGCGTGCTATTGCAGCAGCACCAGGGAGAGTGAGATGAGCAGTGCTGCTGCAGCGACTGCAGCGGATGCAGATGGCAGGGAGGTGAGAGCTGCAGCTCCTTTGGGATTAGCCTTCTCTGCAGCTGGAGGGGGGCGTGCATGGGGGGAGGTGTGTCACCAGGTTGAATGCGCATGGTGTGTGGTGTATGCTGCATGGTGCATGGTGCATGGTGCATGGTGCATGGTGCAGAGTGCATGGTGCATGGTGTTTGGTGAATGGTGCATGGTGCATGGTGCATGGTGTATGGTGAATGGTGCATGGTGCATGGTGTGTATGGTGCATGGTGCATGGTGCATGGTGCATAGTGCATGGTGCATGGTGTATGGTGTATGGTGCATGGTGCATGGTGCATGGTGCATGGTGCAGAGTGCATGGTGCATGGTGTATGGTGAATGGTGCATGGTGCATGGTGTGTATGGTGCATGGTGCGTGGTGTATGGTGCATGGTGCATGGTGTATGGTGCATGGTGCATGGTGCATGGTGCATGGTGCATGGTGTATGGTGCATGGTGCATGGTGCATGGTGTATGGTGTATGGTGCATGGTGCATGGTGCATGGTGCATGGTGCATGGTGTATGGTGCATGGTGCATGGTGCATGGTGTATGGTGTATGGTGTATGGTGTACGGTGCATCGTGTATGCCGCGTGATGCATGGCACACGGCGAGCTTAAGTGAAATGGCTGGGCGAGAAACATGAGTCCCCATGGGGACGAATAGAAGGTGCCACAGGAGCAACGTTACACTGTGGAAGCAACGACGAGGGGTGACAGGAGAGGGGGGAAAGGGGAGGGGGGGGAAGGGGAGGGGGGGATGGCGGAGAGAGGGGCGGGGAGAGGGGCGGGGAGGGGAAGGGGAGTGGCTACCGGATTGCATGAGGGCGGGCAGGTTGGAGTAGAAGCGCGAGCAGCAGTGCCAAGGAGAGTGGGGGAGGGGGAAGGGGTACCAGATTGCATGAGAGCGGGCAGGTTGGAGTAGAAGCGCGAGCACTGGTCTGTGGGGCGCTGGGAGGGCGCCTGGTCCAGGCAGTTGCTACTGTGGCTGGTGGGGGTATGGGGGGAGAAGGGAGAGGAAGAGAGGTTTGGGAAAGATGGGCAGCAGAAGAGCACATGTGCTTGTGAGAAGCTCATAGAAATGATGTTTTTAGACCGGGAAAGCCGTAGGCTGTGCTTTTCAATCAGCAAACCAGCATCGCAGCCATGTTGGTGCAGTGCACCTGCAGCAGTGCACCTGGAGGTGGACGCAAAGGGGGCGTGCAGCACCTGAACTGAGCAGAGCGGCCGGCAGGAGGCTGAGGGGCCGACCCGTTCAGGTAGTTGGAGGACACCTCGCTTGGGGGGGGGGGAGGTGGAGGGGGGGAATGTGGAGGGGCAGGCGGTGAGAGGAGAGGCGGTGAAAGGAGAGGGTGGTGAGAGGAGAGGCGGGGCGGTGAGAGGAGAGGCGGTGAAAGGAGAGGGTGGTGAGAGGAGAGGCGGGGCGGTGAGAGGAGAGGCGGTGAGAGGAGAGGGTGGTGGAATTTTCAAAAACCAGGAGACTGAGGAGCCGACCTGTCCAGGTAGTTGGAGGACACCTCGCTGGGGAGGGGGGAAGGGGGGGAGAAGGGGAGAAGGGGGGGAGAAGGGGAGAAGGGGGGGAGAAGGGGAGAAGGGGGGGAGAAGGGGAGAAGGGGGGAGGGGGTGGTTTGGAGGGGCGGGTGGTGGACAGATGGAGACGAGGCGATGGTACTGGTATGTGATGGTTGCGATGGTGGATGCGCATGTATGGGTATGGAGGGCAGGGATGAATGGGGCAGGGCCTTACTGAACGGAGCAGGGCGGGGTGAAATAAAAAAAGAGAGAAAATTAACTTGGATGTCCGGAACCACATAGCGTATCTACCTATGCATACGGGAATGTGTGGATGACTGGATTGGGTTGCTACTCACACGAAGGTGAGCTTGGTGGGATTCCAGAGGGTGGCTGGCAGACTGCCATATAGGCTGTTGTTGAATAGCGTTCTGCGGTGTGGGGGAGTTGGGGGTGGACCAGAAAGGAAAACGAATGGGGTAAAGGGGAAGGAAAGGAGGCAAAGAAACAGGGGTTGGAAAAAGGGGGGTGAAAACCTTTTCTACGGAGAACTGATGCGTGGTGATTAAAGTCGCTTCGTGGCGAATGATGCAATAGGAGCAGCAATGCAGTAGAAGGGAGGGAAAGAGGAGTGCCGCCGCAGCAGCAGCAGCCACACACACACACACAAACACACAAACACACACATACCCACACACACACACACACACACACACACGCACACACACACACACACCCGCACACACACACACGCGCACACACACACACACACACCTGCACACACACACACACACCCGCACACACACACACCAAACCCACAGAGACGCACATGTCGGAGATGTTGGGCAGTTGCAGCAGGAAGGCGGGGAAGGGTGCAGTGAGGTTGTTGCTGTGCAGCGAGACGATCTCGAGTGATGCGAGTGCCACCCATGAGTCCGGTGGCGGAGTGAGCACTCCTGCACTAGCCAGGTCGCTGGGAGGAGGGAGGGGAGGAGAGGGGAAGGGGGAGGGGGTAGGGGAGGGGAAAGAGGGAGGGGGTAGGGGGAGTGGGTAGGGGGAGGGGGTAGGTCTCCAGCGATGAGAGCGCTGCCCATGGGTCCGGTGGCGGGGTGCGCACTCCTGCACTAGCCAAGTCACTGGGGGTGGGAAAGGGGAAGGGCGCAGTGAGGTTATCGCTGTGCTGCAGAGAGGCGATCTCCAGCGATGAGAGCGCTACCCATGAGTCCGGTGGCGGGGTGCGCACCCCCGCACTGGCCAGGTCGCTGGAAAGAGGGAGGGGAGGAGAGGAGAGGAGAGGAGAGGGGAGGGGAGGTACGTAAGGGGAGGGAAGCGGGATAAAGGGGAGGGGGGGAAGGGACGGGAGGGAAGAGGGGTGGCGGGGGGATGGAAGGGGGGGGAAGGACACAAGAGGGGAAAGTGGGGAGGGGGGGGGGAGGGAAGAGGGGAAGAGGGGAGCGGGGGGATGGGCGGAGTGGAAGGGGAAAAAAAGGAAAGGTAGGGAGATGAGGGGAGGAGAGGGGAGAGGAGCGAAGGGGAGGAGGGAGGGCGCCGTAGGGAGAGGGATGGGGCGCTGGTGGAGTGATGGAAGAGGGGATTGGAATGGAGTGATGGAAGAGGGGATTGGAAGGGGCGGTGTTCAGGCAGGGGTTAAACAGAAGAGCGCAATAAGACACGGTGAAGCTTACATGTGGTGGCAACATGCGGGGACGCTTATGTGGAGGCAGAACAAGAGGCAGGGAAGGAGCGAGGGGCGGCACTGACAGCAGGTGCAGGCCGGAGAGAGCGCTCCAGCTGTCGGGCAGGGGCCCGCTGAAGGTGTTGCTGCCCAACTCGCTGGTGAGGTGATGGGTGGATGGGTGAATGGGTGGGATGGGGAAATGGGTGGGATGGGGGGATGGGTGGGATGGGGGGATTGGTGGGATGGGGGGATGGATGGGTTGGGGGAATGGGTGGGATGGGGGGATGGGTGGATGGGGGAATGGGTGCGATGGGGGAATGGGGGAAGAGGGATGGGGGAATGGGGGAAGAGGGATGGGTGATGGGGTTGGAGATGGGTGATGGGTTTGGGGATGAGGTGATGGGCGTGGGGAATGGGGGATGGAGGGTGGGGAAGGGGGGATGGAGAGTGGGGAATGGAGGATGGGGTGATGGGTTGATGGGTTGATGAGTGATGGATGATGGAGGGATGAGTGATGGATGGGTGATGAGGGGATGGGGTGATGGGTGGGATGGGGAGATGGGTGATAGGGGATGGTTGATGGGATGATGGGGAATCATCGTGTTTGAGTAAGGGCACTGAGAATTATTAGATGGAAACTCCAGTCCCCATGCCATTCCCTGAGAATTGGAGAATCTCTGGTGGTGTCCAGCAGTGCAGATGGTGGTGTCCAGCAGTGCAGATGGTGGTGTCCAGCAGTGCAGATGGTGGTGTCCAGCAGTGCAGATGGTGGTGTCCAGCAGTGCAGATGGTGGTGTCCAGCAGTGCAGATGGTGGTGTCCAGCAGTGCAGATGGTGGTGTCCAGCAGTGCAGATGGTGGTGTCCAGCAGTGCAGATGGTGGTGTCCAGCAGTGCAGATGGTGGTGTCCAGCAGTGCAGATGGTGGTGTCCAGCAGTGCAGATGGTGGTGTCCAGCAGTGCAGATGGTGGTGTCCAGCAGTGCAGATGGTGGTGTCCAGCAGTGCAGATGGTGGTGTCCAGCAGTGCAGATGGTGGTGTCCAGCACTGCAGATGGTGGTGTCCAGCAGTGCAGATGGTGGTGTCCAGCAGTGCAGATGGTGGTGTCCAGCAGTGCAGATGGTGGTGTCCAGCACTGCAGATGGTGGTGTCCAGCAGTGCAGATGGTGGTGTCCAGCAGTGCAGATGGTGGTGTCCAGCAGTGCAGATGGTGGTGTCCAGCACTGCAGATGGTGGTGTCCAGCAGTGCAGATGGTGGTGTCCAGCACTGCAGATGGTGGTGTCCAGCAGTGCAGATGGTGGTGTCCAGCAGTGCAGATGGTGGTGTCCAGCACTGCAGTTCCCATTCCATGGGAATCATGCTAACTTCTTAATTTGATGAGGAATATGGGAGGAGAACTAGTGGTTGGTAGTGCATGGCAACTAAAAAAAGAACCTATTTGCAAAATACACTAGCAGGATAGCTTCGAACGTTAGCGCAGTGCTCACAGGTGTTTGAGGGCAGTGAGTGCTCACAGGTGTTTGAGGGCAGTGAGTGCTCACAGGTGTTTGAGGGCAGTGAGTGCGGAGAGGCCTGAGGGAAAGGAGTCAGCAAGCTGGTTGGACGCGAGGGAGAGAATCTCCAGCGCTGTCAGGGCGGACAGGCCTGCGGGCAGGGCGCCGGGAATGCGGTTACCACTCAGGTCGCTGAGGAGAGAGATGGGGAGGGAGATGGGGAGGGGGGCAGGGCAGGGAATGCGTGGGAGGTGAGGGTGGTAAGGAAGGGACGCCTGAACTTGCTCAACCAGCCCGCTTTCAGGTTGATCAAGTCAACTCAGCACCATCACAGCTCATGCTCACATGACACATCCCCACAAGCTGATTTCTCTCATTTCAGTACCTTAACAAAGAACCTTCTTTTCCTACCTACAACCTGCCCCGGCCGGCAGCAGCACCGCACACCGACACCCCTGCTGCCACTCTCGACCCGCCAACCAAAGCAGCCCCTACCACCACCGCAGCCCCGCCCAGAGCTCACAGCTTCTTGCAGATTGAGTTGAAGAGCATGGGGAGCTTGCTTACCAGAGTCTATTTCTGAGCGCCTCAAAACGAGACAGGACAGGGCTTACAGCTTCTGCAGGTTGGAGAGTGCGGAGAGCTCGCCCCCCAGAGGCGCATCCAGGGCGTTGCGGGCGAGCTGGCTGCCGCGGAGGGATGGGCGTTGGGCATGGGGGAGAGGCGGGAGAGAGGGGGGAGGGAGGGGGGGGGGGGGGGGGGAGAGAGGGGAAGGGGAGGTGAGAGAAAAAGGGCAGACGGAGGGAGATGGGCGGGGGAGGGAGGGGGAGGAAGAAAGAGAAGGCGAGGAGAGTGGGGTGCATGGGGGTTCCGGGGGGTGCGTGAAGGGTTTAAGAAGTGCGTTGGGGGTTCAGAGGGCGGGGATGCATGCAGTGAGCGTGGTGGGAAAAGATGGACTTTTGAGTCGACTCAAAAGAAGGTGGGGACGCATGCAGTGAGCACAGAAAGAGATGGAGACGCTCTGCACGGCGAGAGGCACGAGACAAGGGGGTTGCGGGGATGAGGGAGGTGGGTACTATGGGGTGAGGGCCGAATGGCAAGGGTGTGACCGTGAAGTTACGGTGGGGCGAGGAGAGTGGGGTGCATGGGGTGGGGGGCGAGGGAGGGGGGTGCATGGGGTGGGGGGCGAGGGAGGGGGGTTGAGGGAGGGGGTGGGGGTTGAGGCCGAGGGGTTGAAATGCAATCGCTAACAATTCATTCGCATCCTTCTACTCTCTTCTTTGACCGTCAACCACCCTCACACACCCCCCCTCACTCACATTCCCCCTTACTCAAATCCCTTTAGCGCTCAACCTCCTCGCCACATCCCCCCCACTCTCAACGCCGTTGCTCTCATCTCCCTCACTCTCATCCGCCTCACTCTCACCCCCCTCACTCTCATCCTCCTCACTCTCATCCCCCTCGCTCTCATCCCCCTCACTCTCATCCCCCTCACTCTCATTCCCCTCACACTCATCCCCCTCACTCTCATCCCCCTCACTCTCATCCCCCTCACCCTCCCCACCCCCCCCCACTCACATGTCTCTGAGCGCGGTGAACTTGGAGATGGCAGCAGTGAACGGAGAGCCAGAGATGGAGTTGCCCGACAGATCAACGGCCTGCAGGTGTTCCAGCGCCGTGAGGGAATCCCAGGGGATCGACCCCTTTAAGCCACCTGGCGTCTTCTGATTGGCCCACGATGCATTGATGACTGCTAGAGTAGGATTGGCAATGTTGCTGTGGTTGTTGGCGGAAGGAAGGGGGGAGAAAGGGACGAGAGGGGAGGGGGGAATGGAGGAAAAGGGTGAAGGGAAGAAGGTGGAGTGGAGATCAGTAAATTACGGAATGGAGAAGAGCGGAGAGGGTGGAAAGAATGAAGACAGGGGAAGGTCGGAGAGGGGTGAGGCGCCTCCCTGCCCAATCCGCCGTCTCTTCCCTTACCGCCTGCACAAGAACGTCCCCATTGCCTCCTCACGGCCTCACATGCTGGAGACGCGCTCGCACATGCTGGAGACGCGCTCTCACATGCTGGAGACGCGCTCTCACAGTGCCCTCAAATGCTCACGGCTTGCTCATCCCCACCGCCCCATCAGTTGCTCACATGCTGGAGACGTGGCCGTGCGAGTCGCAGGAGAGGAACTCCCAGAACTGCACGCACGGCTTGCTCTGCTGCACCGACAGCCCCGGCGACTGATTCACCCACCCCGCCCACCGGAACGCCGCATGCCCGCCCAGCGCTGCCGCCAGCGACAGCAGCGCCGCCTCTGGGCGTTGGGGCAGGGGTGGGATGGGGGGAGAGCGGAGATACGGGGGGAGATGATTGGACGCGCGGAGGCGTAAGGGCTGCGGTGGGAGGTGCGCTGCTGGGTGAGCGAAGAGCGCCTCCGCCAGGAGGGGCAGGACGGGCTGTGGGAGGGTGGTTGATCTGTGGGGCAGACTGCGCTCCCCTGCGGAGTCGTGCGCGTAGCGCATGATGGGGCCATGGAAGGGAAGGGCATAGGGGTGTGGAACAGGCGCGTTTCTCATCCTTTGTCGGCCGGCAGGCGCCATTGTAATAAACCGTTACAGTAACCATTTGCCAAGTATCCCCGCTACAGTCATACCGCGACGTACTCTCAGCGAGCGCCACGTCATCGGCCGTGGCGAGCCCCGGCAGCGGCTGGATGACGTCAGCACGCACCGTCGCTGGCGGCGGGATCGACGCGCAGAGCGCGACGAGCGACGCGACGGCAACGACTCGTTGAAGCCGCCGCTGGCAATGCCACCGCGGCTCATTTCGACACCTCGAAGCATCATGATGGCAATGCGGCTGAGCGAGTAGCCGCGTAAGATGATGTGGGGGCATGATAACGCCTAGTGCGAGGGTGGCGAACGCGATAGGGAGTGATTCGGAGGCTTGAGGGAGGAATTCGACGAAAGGAAGTGGTTGGTGAAGGTAGTAGAACAGTGGCATTCGTCGCGGCTGAGGTGAGGGCTCATATTAAGAGAAGGATGTTAGAGGAAGGGGGGACAAGTTTGCTGATGAAATCCGGTTGGCTCTGGTGAGTCTTGGTTTCAGTTCGGTTTAGTAAAGTCTTGTCGCAGCACAGATTTGTGCCCTTCTCTAATATTGAAACATCACCGCCCATTCTTGTCGCTCCACCTTTTACTCTGCCCTTTCGACCCTTCTATTTGTCACAAGCCTCCAACTCGCGCCGTCCAGTTTGATAATATCTCCCCATGCCGCCCGCCGCCGCAATCCGCTTCCCCCTTCAGGTCCCGCGCACGCTCGGCGCAGCCTCTCCCCACGCAGCATTTCTTCCCGCGTCAGACTCGCCGAAATCTGATCGCTCGCTCTGCGTTTCCCATTTCGACATCGCTCTGAAGCCCACTTATCATCCCGCGCCTCATTCTGCCTGCGCCTTGTGCTTTGGCGCGGGAAATCCGAAGCGCGCCAGAGAGCAGCGCGCTCTAAGAAGCGCGCAGAACGACGGAGTGACACTGGGAACACTTCGCGTGAGACCGGATGATCCGCGCATCCCTCTTGCGTGCGCAGCAGCGGGAGATGAAGGCGGAGCAGCGAGGGCGGAAGTAGTAGGCGCGGCGGGCGGAGCTGCGGAGGTGTCCGATGCGCGCGTGGCGCGAGTGATGCGCGTTTTATGGGAGGACCTGCCGGTGCAGTATGAGCGAGAGCTGGGTTGGTCCATCTACGATGCCAGCGTGGCATTCGTGGATCCTGTGACGCGATTGGACGGGCTGATTCTGTTCAGCAGCCTCAGGATAATCACGGCAGTGGGATTCGAACCCGTGTCTCTCGTTTTCGCAGTGCACTCACTGGAATAGGTGAGCAGTGCTTGCAATGCCCCTTTCTTGTCAAACATTATATATATGTTGTGTTAGTTTAGGCTACAGTGGGTTAGCCTATAGGGGGTACACAATTCTAGGGTTAGGTACTTATACTGTTTTCACTGCTAGTTCATCCATTCCTGTTCAGTTATTCCAACATGGTATAGAGCAGGTCCTTCCTAGGACCGAAATTTTCTAAGGGCCCACCACTACGTAACTACCTACCTACCTACCTACCTGTGCCCTAGGGCGCCACGGCGTGTCACGCCCCTAGAGGCCCCTCTTGACGGCCCTGCGCTAGCCCCGTTCAGGCCCCGTCGGCCCCACGCCCGCTCTCCCTAGCGGCCCCGTTCAGGCCCCGTCGGCCCCTTTAAGGCCCCGTTCAGGCCCCGCGCTAGCCCCGTTCAGGCCCCGTCGGCCCCGTTTCAGGCCCCGTCGGCCCCGCGCTAGTCCCTCTCAGGCCCCGTCGGCCCGCGCTAGCCCCGTTTCAGGCCCCGTCGGCCCCGTTTCAGGCCCCGTCAGCCCGCGCTAGCCCCGTTTTCAGGCCCCGTCGGCCCCGTTTCAGGCCCCGTCGGCCCGCGCTAGCCCCGTTTCAGGCCCCGTCGGCCCCGTTTCAGGCCCCGTAGGCCCGCGCTAGCCCCGTTTCAGGCCCCGTCAGCCCCGTTTCAGGCCCCGTCGGCCCGCGCTAGCCCCGTTTCAGGCCCCGTCGGCCCCGTTTCAGGCCCCGTCGGCCCCGAGCTAGCCCCATTCAGGCCCCGATCAGCCCCACGCTAGCCCCGTTGAGGCCCCGTCGGCCCCGCGCTAGCCCCTCTCAGGCCCCGTCGGCCCGCGCTAGCCCCGTTTCAGGCCCCGTCGGCCCCGTTTCAGGCCCCGTCGGCCCCGCTGCTAGCCCCGTCACGGCCCCGTTTGGCCCCGCGCTAGCCCCGTTCAGGCCCCGTCGGCCCCGTCTCAGACCCCGTCGGCCCCGCGCCAGCCCCGCTCAGGCCCCGATCGGCCCGACGCTCGCCCTTCTAGGGCCCCAACCGGCCCCATGCCGACCTCGCCGACCCGTGCCCACCACCTGGAGGCCCCGGGCGGCCCGTTCCCGCCGTGACCCGAGCTGCGCGACCCGAGCCGCGCGCCCCGAGCCGAGCCGCGCGCCCTAAGCCGAGCCGCGCCACCCAGCCGAGCCGCGCCCCGACCTGAACCGAGCCGCGCCGCCCTGCCCTACCTGGTTTGTCCTACCTGCTTCTCCTACTGCTTCTGCTGCTATTTCTACTGTTCCTATGGCTAGCCCACAGGTTCTCGTGTTCGATGCTGAGGGCCGCCCTGTGAAGTTTGACACATGGCTCGATGACCTGCACCTCTACCTACAGCTCACAGCCAAGGATGACATCTCACTGTACGATCACGCCCTAGGCCATGTCACTGCCCCTGCTGCTACTGCTGACAGCACTGCTCGCTCACAGTGGCAGACTCGTGATGCCCACGCTCGCTTCGCTATTCGCAACTCCCTGCCAATAGACAAACGCGAACACTTTGGTCAGCACAAGACTGCACAGGCACTGTACACAGCCGTAGTTGCTCGCTACTCCTCACCTGCCTCTGCCGCGCTAGGCCATCTCTCCCTCCCCTACCTGTTTCCCGACCTGTCCTCCTTTCACACAGTCGCTGACCTCATCACGCACCTCCGTACTAGTGAGGCCCGCTTCCGTGCCGCCATGCCTGCTGACTTCCTTGCCACGCACCCCCCTCCACTCTGGCTCACTCTCTACCACCTAGTCACCCGCCTCCCTGACACACTGCGTGCTGTCAGGGACCACTTCCTAGCTCGTTGCCCCACTGAGCTCACCATTGCCGAGATTGACTCTACAACGGTAGTGAGCTAGACTACAGGGGTTGGCACGAACTACTAGAGGTGATCTTAGCTTTGCTTAGTTCCTTAGTGTTTGCACATTCACGGAAGGATTTGGCAAGAGTTTCCACTAGCAAAGTTGGAATTCCAGAATGATCCAAGAAGCAAATGACAACAATGACTACATCAGGCACCTAGCAACCCTGCAGCTAGCCTGGTCGACCGCCAACGCAGCTCGGTCGACCGCCTGCCAGCATTGCGTAGAGGAGCCGCGCCAGCATTGCAGAAGGGCGACCTGCCAACAAAGCAGGTCGACGGCGTGCCCCGTAGAACACAGCAGTGCGCGCGCTAGCAGGTGTGCGCAAATGATTGGCCCGACTTGCCTCGTTGGGCATCCGTCGGCTGTTGTCTGCGCCTGATGAGCCACATCGACTTCGGGATACCAGCCCGAAGTCGCCTGCGCCATCGCGATCTCGACGACGTTCGCGTGCCTCCGCAGAACTCGTTGAGCAGGTTACCCGGTCGACCTGGTCGACCCCTGGTGCTCTGGTCGACTCCCAGGTGCCTCCCGTCGACCACTGGGTCCCTCTGGTCGACCACCGGGCGCTCCTGGTCGACCACACCTCCCGTCAAGCTACCCATTGGTCGACGGACCCCTTCCGTCGACCAGAACTGCTCCGTCGACCTCCTGGTCGAACTGCAGTTCGACGGGATGCTCCGTTGTCCTCCCGGTCGAGCTGCAGTTCGACGAGACGCTCCGTTAACCTCCTGGTCGAGCTGCAGTTCGACGGGACGCTCCGTTGACCTCCCGGTCGAGCTGCAGTTCGACGGGACGCTCCATAGACCTCCCCGTCGAACTGTAGGTCGACGGACTGCTTCGTCGACCTCCCGGACGGCTCACCCGTCGCCCAGGCCAGTCAGGTGCAGTTGTCGAGCACCCTGGTCGACAGCAACACCACAGCGGTCCGCTGCAGCTCGACGTAACCTGTCGAGCAACTATCCCACTGTGAGCGGTCGGCTGCTACTCCCGTACATCCGACCAAGTTGTCGGCGTTGCCCAAGCGAGGGCGGGGCCAACACTCCATTCCCGTTAACACTCCCCTGCCGCGCTCACGCTTGGGCCTCCAGCCCTCACGGCAGTACTCCACGGAGAGAACTCGTCCTTGGCGTGCACCCCACACACAGCACGCCGTCACCGCACCAGCCGTGCAGAAGGGCACGGCACCTACTGCTGCACCTCTTCGTCGTCGTCGCCGACGTCGACCAGACGAACTTGGCCGATGGCGACAGAGCACCGGTTGAAAGCCGGAAAATGCAGCGCCTTCGTCAGGAAATCCGCCGGCTGCTCGGTGGTCGGGATGTAGTTCAGCACAAATTTCCCGCGCCTCACCATGTTCTGCAGCCACGCGTAGCGTCGCTCCATGTGCTTGAGGTTGCCCGTCAGCCCCAAGCCCTCAGCGACAGTGATTGCCGACTTGTTGTCGACGCGGAGGATGTTCCGGTTCCCAGCGTCGAGTAGCTTGAATTCCGCAAGGAGGAAGCGAAGTCGGCGCCCCTCCTTGCCGGCATCCGTGGCCGCCACGTACTCCGACTCGGTCGATGATAATGTCGCGCACTTGATGCGCGAGCTCGACCAGGAGACGGCGGCCCCTCCGTATACGAACACGTAGCCTCCCGTGCTCGTCCGGTTCTGCTTGTCGCCCGCGTCGTCGGCATCGACGTAGCCGATCAGCTCCAACGATTCTGGTCCACCGCCGAACTCCAGGGCGGTGTCACGGGTGTCGGCGAGGAAGGCGAGGCAACGGTCGACCTCACGCCAATGCTGGTCGCTCCTCACCGTGAGGCCGCTCCCCAGCTTGCTGTAGGCGAACGCAATGTCCGGCCTCGTCGT